CAGGGGTGGGGCTGGGCGGGATCCCCCACCCCCGCACCCCGCCCGGCTGGGAACGGCTTCCTGGAGGGGCTGCGAGTGGGCTCGGGCTCCCGCGTTGAGTCAGAGGGCGTTGCCCCGGCCTTGGTCAAGAAGGTGGGTGTCCAGACCGCTGGGGATGGCTGGCGAGCGACTCAGGTGCGGGCGTCACGCGCTCCAGGCTAATGAGCCTAATGACACTTTCCCCTCGGTGCCCTGCCGCCTGTCATTTGTCCTGTTAATTGATTTGCTGCTCATTAAGGATGAGACGCGCAACCAAAATGCAAACACAGCGAGCGCGGCAGTGTTCGCTCAGCAATGCCGGACTTTTCCGAAGCTTTAGGGGCATGGCGAGCCCTGTGGGGTTCCATTATGACCTCAACGGATCTGTTTCGAGAAGGGGTGTTGCCGGCTTGAAAACCGGCAAGGCTCTGCATTCTCTTGGACGTGTCGTTCAAACACCTGCTGGCCGAAGGAGAGGATGGCAGCCTCAGGGAGCCTGCCCAAGAGTGAGCAATTCCAGGGACAGTGGCCAAATCTTTTCTGATTTTAGTTGACGCATTTTTTTTTTTAAATTTCTACTTCTGGACAGGCTAATTATGTTTAGGCTTTGCACCGGCTTATGGTTATAATCAGAAGTAAGGAGAGGCGTCTCTGGGTGTCTAGTGCAGCTGTCACCAAGGTAAACCACCCTTTGTCCCTGGCTGTTAACCGTGATGGGTCGGAAAGACACGCAGGGAACCCTCCGAACCCACCTCTGTAAGATGTCACGGAGCAGAGGTTTCCTGAAGGACACGCCCCTGAAATCAGCCGCAGCCTCAATGGCACTGTTGTGGACAGCGAAAGCCAAGGAAGGGTAAGAACCCAAGGACAGCACTAATCATTTACGTTTCTTTTCCTGCTGTGCATCTTTCCTTTTCAGTAAAGAGCGTGCTTTCTATTTCACAGAGTCCAGGCCTTTCACCCACAAAGCACCAGCAAATGGATTGGTTTACTGGGATAAAGACAAGGTAGAGGGTAACTCAAACAGTCTGTGTAGACGGCCACAGATATGGCTCACAAGGGTGGGTGTGTGGTAACACTGGGGGGCTAGAGTCAGACCGCTGGCTGCAAGTCGGCAAGTCTGGGTGAACACTCACCCATTCCCTGCTTCACGAGTCAAATATTTGAGCACTACAGAAATGGATACGGATAAAACTTTCTGTGGGTGTCAAAACGGCATTGTGGGCTTTTGGGCCTGTGCACGTGGGTGCAGTTGAAAAGCTCCAGCGGAAGCCTGCAGCCCCCTGGACATTGCCGCCTGGCCTAGGTGCTGCGGGTCCACTGTCTGCGTGGAAGGCTAGAGCAGCTTAGGGCTAGTTCTGAGTCTGTGGTTACTGCACGCCTCAGTTTAAATATTGTGAAATAAGTAGTTAGGTCTTTTTATTGCACCACTTCAATTACCCAAGTAAATACTCTTAATATAACTGCAAGTGAGTTGCATCAAGTTTTTCGTTTCTATTCATTATCAACGTCTGAAAAAGAAAATTATTCATCCTAATTTCAGTTTTGGAAAACAGAACATTTCAGGTCAGCTCGCAGCGCAGTGGGTAAGCACTGTGCTTTGAGAGCCGGCTTCCACATGGCTAACTACAGTGCAAACCCCAGCCTTGGCATTTGAGAAACATGCCGGGGCTGTGTGCCTGCACCCCAAATCCTGCTAAGAACGGAGAAATGGAGGAAGAAGGATGGCGGTCTGACTAAGCCCCCTTGGGGGGTGATCTCTCTCTCTTCTCTCGCCTCCTCCGGTGAACACGTGTATCCTATAGCAATAAAAAGAAAAAAAATAGGACCAGCCCATGGCCAAGTTCCAGACCTGATGGCCTGAAAAACACACCAGGTGTGTGTGCTTGCGTGCCGCATTCCCAAAAGAGGGACAGGTGGTGGAGGAGGAGTTGCAGTGTGACCACGTACCATGGGATGGGGCGGCGTGCACCCTCTCATCTGTCTCTGGCAGATGCATGTGTCCTCTGACTAAGGCTTGAGAAATAGAGAAAATGGTAACTCTTACAGGAAAAAGTCATTTCATTTCTTTCTTTCTTTCTTTCTTTTTTTTTTTCTACGTCTTTTATTCTTACAAGTATCAAAGTTTACTAAATCTTTGATTTGTCCATTCAAACATGATAGTGCTGGGACCAGCAGTTGGCTTAATGGCTATGTCGCTAGACTCCCATGCAGCTGACTGAGGTTCGAGTCCCAGACCTGGTGGCTTAAACTCACGCCAGGCGCATGTGCATGCCCAATATCCTGAGAGGAGAATGGAGGAGAAGGGATTGCGGCGTGGCCATCCCCTCGGAGGTGATTTCTTGCTTTCTGTCTCTCTGTCTCTCTCTGTCTTTCTGGTGAGTGCACGTGCCCTACAGCAAAAACCTCTCAAAAAAAGAAAAAAAAAAGTGTTAGTGCTGAATGCTCTGCGGGGGAGCCAGGGCTCATACGGGTGTCGGTGGTGTTCCCTGAGCCAGTGCACGCTGTAAGTCTAGTTGTGCAGACAGGTCTTTGGCTTGATAAAGAATGCCGACTGAATGAGGAAAACAGAGCTATCTCCAGGGCGGATCTCCTCTTACAATAACTCCTGCTCTGAGCACACCGAAAGCCATTGCCTCGCCCAGCACGTTCTGGTCACGTTCCCACTGTGTGCTCATAGTTGCTCTAAGTCACCACGTCACCTCCTGACACAAGACTCAGCCAGGGAAAGTGTGTGTGTTGTTTGAAGTTTTGCATGAGAAAATGCATTTCAGCATTCTGTGTAATTTTCCTGGGATCCAGCATACTGGCTGGCATGTAATCATCGAACAAGTGGGTAAGCCGATGAATAAGGGAGCGAGCCTTAAAGGACAAACCAGTAGTGAAGTAGCTGCACGCTATGGGACACTGTGGAGCCAGTGGGAGAAGGGGCTATATAGTTCCTTAGGCCTGACTTGGGAAGCTGCACTTGCGTGAAAAATGGGGTAAAGGAAAATCAAGGGTGTATATACCATTTCTGTGATACAAACACTATTCCCACCCCCGAGAAAACATTTATAACCAAACTACAAGAGGACTTCAGAAAGTCTGGAGAAAAGTGAAATTAAAATATAAGTCTGTTTTGCTGCAAAACATTTTTGAAATCCATGCACAGTTTTTTGTTTGTTTGTTTGTTTTTTTGAGAGGGTTTTGCTGTAGGGCACGTGCGCTCACCAGAAAGACAGAGAGAGACAGAGAGACAGAAAGCAAGAAATCAGCCCCCAGGGGGATGGCCATGCCGTGATCCCTTCTCCTCCATTCTCCTATCAGGATCTTGGGCACGCACGCACATGTGCCTGGCATGAGTTTAAGCCACCAGGTCTGGGACTCAAACTGTGGTCGACTACATGGGAATCCCGTGACATAGCAATTATGCCATCTGCCGGTCCCCAGTTTTTTCATAATATTCGTTTCCATGAATGTTGTAAAGTTCCCCATGTGTGTAAAATAGTTTATATTACCTCTTACCAGTGAGATTCAAGCAGGCACAGTGAGGGGAGGCCTGTATTTCTGGGCACCGTTGCAGTGGTATTGGGACATACGAAGTAGTGCTACCACGACCCAGGCTTTGGGGCTTATTGTCGAGCTGAAGAGACAAAGACATCCCAGGTCGAGGCTGTGGGCCTCTGGGCCTGGGTTTCAGATGGCCACCCTCGCCAGCCCAGCCAAGAAGCACACACCTGCCCGTGACGGAATGCCCAGCGTGCCAGACTGTTGATTGCTTTGCTTCTGTTCTCAGCTCAATTCACCAGCCTTCTGAGGTGGACATTCATAATCCGCTCCCTGACGGAGGAGGACACAAGCCTGAGCCTGTCATTTAGCCGAGATGACACCACGTAAGGGGCATTGTCAGGGTGTTGGACAAGGACCTTCGCTCCAGGGTTCACACTTCTGCCCACCATTCCCCAAATTGCATCTGCACTGATGAAACTCTTCTGGTGAGCAATGCTCTGCTTTGCAAACACGTTTATTTTAAACTTGGTTATGAGATACGTTAAACTTTGTTATACCATATTTTAAACTTTGTTGCTCCATACTGTATTATGGAGCAATTAGAAAATGAAAAAGAAAATAACATTATGATGAGCCTTAGTCTGATTTTCCTTTAAATATTGCACCTTCTCTATGCTCTCTCCTTGCAAGGATCGTATTAATGACTCCAGAATGTGCCAAAAAACACGCACGTGTGTGTGTGTGTGTGTGTGTGTGTGGGTGGTGGGGAGGTAGAGAACTCACTCTCCGTGGAGTCTGACAGTCTAGCTCCGGAGCTGAGAGCAGGTCAGTGCAGCACTTTACCCCCTCTCCAGCTGACCGGTGTCTGGGACCGCTGCTTCACGGCTGGCGTCTGTGATGCTTCGGCTAGTGTGTGTCCTAGATTCAGGCGGGCGTACGTCGGAAGAAATGGATACGGATAAAACTTTCTGTGGGTGTCAAAACGGCATTGTGGGCTTTTGGGCCTGTGCACGTGGGTGCAGTTGAAAAGCTCCAGCGGAAGCCTGCAGCCCCCTGGACATTGCCGCCTGGCCTAGGTGCTGCGGGTCCACTGTCTGCGTGGAAGGCTAGAGCAGCTTAGGGCTAGTTCTGAGTCTGTGGTTACTGCACGCCTCAGTTTAAATATTGTGAAATAAGTAGTTAGGTCTTTTTATTGCACCACTTCAATTACCCAAGTAAATACTCTTAATATAACTGCAAGTGAGTTGCATCAAGTTTTTCGTTTCTATTCATTATCAACGTCTGAAAAAGAAAATTATTCATCCTAATTTCAGTTTTGGAAAACAGAACATTTCAGGTCAGCTCGCAGCGCAGTGGGTAAGCACTGTGCTTTGAGAGCCGGCTTCCACATGGCTAACTACAGTGCAAACCCCAGCCTTGGCATTTGAGAAACATGCCGGGGCTGTGTGCCTGCACCCCAAATCCTGCTAAGAACGGAGAAATGGAGGAAGAAGGATGGCGGTCTGACTAAGCCCCCTTGGGGGGTGATCTCTCTCTCTTCTCTCGCCTCCTCCGGTGAACACGTGTATCCTATAGCAATAAAAAGAAAAAAAATAGGACCAGCCCATGGCCAAGTTCCAGACCTGATGGCCTGAAAAACACACCAGGTGTGTGTGCTTGCGTGCCGCATTCCCAAAAGAGGGACAGGTGGTGGAGGAGGAGTTGCAGTGTGACCACGTACCATGGGATGGGGCGGCGTGCACCCTCTCATCTGTCTCTGGCAGATGCATGTGTCCTCTGACTAAGGCTTGAGAAATAGAGAAAATGGTAACTCTTACAGGAAAAAGTCATTTCATTTCTTTCTTTCTTTCTTTCTTTTTTTTTTTCTACGTCTTTTATTCTTACAAGTATCAAAGTTTACTAAATCTTTGATTTGTCCATTCAAACATGATAGTGCTGGGACCAGCAGTTGGCTTAATGGCTATGTCGCTAGACTCCCATGCAGCTGACTGAGGTTCGAGTCCCAGACCTGGTGGCTTAAACTCACGCCAGGCGCATGTGCATGCCCAATATCCTGAGAGGAGAATGGAGGAGAAGGGATTGCGGCGTGGCCATCCCCTCGGAGGTGATTTCTTGCTTTCTGTCTCTCTGTCTCTCTCTGTCTTTCTGGTGAGTGCACGTGCCCTACAGCAAAAACCTCTCAAAAAAAGAAAAAAAAAGTGTTAGTGCTGAATGCTCTGCGGGGGAGCCAGGGCTCATACGGGTGTCGGTGGTGTTCCCTGAGCCAGTGCACGCTGTAAGTCTAGTTGTGCAGACAGGTCTTTGGCTTGATAAAGAATGCCGACTGAATGAGGAAAACAGAGCTATCTCCAGGGCGGATCTCCTCTTACAATAACTCCTGCTCTGAGCACACCGAAAGCCATTGCCTCGCCCAGCACGTTCTGGTCACGTTCCCACTGTGTGCTCATAGTTGCTCTAAGTCACCACGTCACCTCCTGACACAAGACTCAGCCAGGGAAAGTGTGTGTGTTGTTTGAAGTTTTGCATGAGAAAATGCATTTCAGCATTCTGTGTAATTTTCCTGGGATCCAGCATACTGGCTGGCATGTAATCATCGAACAAGTGGGTAAGCCGATGAATAAGGGAGCGAGCCTTAAAGGACAAACCAGTAGTGAAGTAGCTGCACGCTATGGGACACTGTGGAGCCAGTGGGAGAAGGGGCTATATAGTTCCTTAGGCCTGACTTGGGAAGCTGCACTTGCGTGAAAAATGGGGTAAAGGAAAATCAAGGGTGTATATACCATTTCTGTGATACAAACACTATTCCCACCCCCGAGAAAACATTTATAACCAAACTACAAGAGGACTTCAGAAAGTCTGGAGAAAAGTGAAATTAAAATATAAGTCTGTTTTGCTGCAAAACATTTTTGAAATCCATGCACAGTTTTTTGTTTGTTTGTTTGTTTTTTTGAGAGGGTTTTGCTGTAGGGCACGTGCGCTCACCAGAAAGACAGAGAGAGACAGAGAGACAGAAAGCAAGAAATCAGCCCCCAGGGGGATGGCCATGCCGTGATCCCTTCTCCTCCATTCTCCTATCAGGATCTTGGGCACGCACGCACATGTGCCTGGCATGAGTTTAAGCCACCAGGTCTGGGACTCAAACTGTGGTCGACTACATGGGAATCCCGTGACATAGCAATTATGCCATCTGCCGGTCCCCAGTTTTTTCATAATATTCGTTTCCATGAATGTTGTAAAGTTCCCCATGTGTGTAAAATAGTTTATATTACCTCTTACCAGTGAGATTCAAGCAGGCACAGTGAGGGGAGGCCTGTATTTCTGGGCACCGTTGCAGTGGTATTGGGACATACGAAGTAGTGCTACCACGACCCAGGCTTTGGGGCTTATTGTCGAGCTGAAGAGACAAAGACATCCCAGGTCGAGGCTGTGGGCCTCTGGGCCTGGGTTTCAGATGGCCACCCTCGCCAGCCCAGCCAAGAAGCACACACCTGCCCGTGACGGAATGCCCAGCGTGCCAGACTGTTGATTGCTTTGCTTCTGTTCTCAGCTCAATTCACCAGCCTTCTGAGGTGGACATTCATAATCCGCTCCCTGACGGAGGAGGACACAAGCCTGAGCCTGTCATTTAGCCGAGATGACACCACGTAAGGGGCATTGTCAGGGTGTTGGACAAGGACCTTCGCTCCAGGGTTCACACTTCTGCCCACCATTCCCCAAATTGCATCTGCACTGATGAAACTCTTCTGGTGAGCAATGCTCTGCTTTGCAAACACGTTTATTTTAAACTTGGTTATGAGATACGTTAAACTTTGTTATACCATATTTTAAACTTTGTTGCTCCATACTGTATTATGGAGCAATTAGAAAATGAAAAAGAAAATAACATTATGATGAGCCTTAGTCTGATTTTCCTTTAAATATTGCACCTTCTCTATGCTCTCTCCTTGCAAGGATCGTATTAATGACTCCAGAATGTGCCAAAAAACACGCACGTGTGTGTGTGTGTGTGTGTGTGTGTGGGTGGTGGGGAGGTAGAGAACTCACTCTCCGTGGAGTCTGACAGTCTAGCTCCGGAGCTGAGAGCAGGTCAGTGCAGCACTTTACCCCCTCTCCAGCTGACCGGTGTCTGGGACCGCTGCTTCACGGCTGGCGTCTGTGATGCTTCGGCTAGTGTGTGTCCTAGATTC